GCCACTATATATAAAAACAGATAAAAAAAATTTTCTGTGTAGCACAGGGAACTACATTCAATATCTTGTAATAACCTTTAATGAATATGAAAACAAATATATGTATGCATATGCATGAATGGGACATTGTGCTGTACACTAAAAACTGACACATTTTAACTGACTGTACTTCATTAAAAAAAAAAAAAAGAAAAAAGAAAATGCACATGCACAGCTGTTTCAGTTGTGAGCCAAACTAGTCACTCTTCATGGAACACTTTTATTTGAAAGAACTAAGAGAACTATTGTTACTAAGGCTTGGATTTTGATGGCCATTTCTTCTACTAATACTAAATCTAAACTAAACGACCTCAAGATAGTAAAATCTAATGGACATTTTTCAATCCTTATATATTTAACTTTATGCAGTATGTGCCATTCCTGATATTCCCCATCCTTCTTCCACTGAAACACTATCTTGGTTTTCTTTCTATAATTATTTGACCAATCCTCCTCAGTTCCCCCTATAACTTTAAATTTTAGTGTTCCTCAGGTTCGTATCTCTCAGTAGACTCACACTGCTATCAACTATTTAACAGATTGGCAAAGGATGTTCAAATAGTTTTCAGTTCTCTCCCTGTCTTAAGAAGTTGAACAGACATACAACACAAGCTCTTGTGCTTAAATAAAAGTCAAAGTCAAACACATAGGATATTTTTCCCCATTGTATGTGAGAAAACACATCTTAACATGCAAGATTCTATATCCCAACCAAAACACAGTTCTTTCTCCACAACAGCAAAGACAAAAAGATATTTTCAATGTTTCTGCGCAGGTTTTCATTGAGCTTTGCTTCAAGCTCACCAAGTTCTTCTTCTGCTTTTCTAACATCTTTCTGTAATTCAAGTCTAGACTTTCTTGTGTCATAATAACCTCCAGTTAAAGCACCACGATGACTAACTTGGTCACCTATAAACAAAACATAGGGTAGTAATTCTGTATAACAATTCCTTTATTCACTGATAAACTGACTAATAATCAAGCAACTAAAGGCTTTACCTATTTAATGAGAATTAAAAAGTTAAGAGTTTAAGCTAGTCTGGAAAAAATTTTGCTTTCCAGTATTAAAATTTGTATAAAAATATACCTTCTAGGTGAGCCTGAACATTTGCCAGAAAGGAAAGAAGTGCTGAAGACTAATAGGAACATGTCAACAGGATATGGGCCCTGGCTTGGAATTCCCACTGGCCATTATTTGGGAAAATTTGAAAATCAGAAATAATAATGACAATGTGGTAACACATGTAATGAGAAAAAAATCCATGAACCACAAATAGTAAGTTTTAAAAAAGGAGAGGACTCATCTTCACAGAATAACAATAGCTAATAACTATAGAAGCAATCACAGAATTTAATAATCACAGTTTTGAAACTCCCAATGTATAAGCAAAGGACGTTAAAACAGTTTTTAACTTTCTCCCTGTCTTCAGAAGTTAAACTGACATACAACATAAGCTCCTGTGCTTAAATAAAAGTCAAAGGTCACCAAAGGATGTTAAACAATTGGTAAAAAAAAGTTTGGGAGAGATTCTTACATTTATGTATTCTTAAAAGATATCACTTATTAATTACAAAGGGGAAAGGGCATCTTTACAACCAAGACGAGCTAGTGGTCCAACTTGGCACCAGTTAACAGTGGGACACATTGTGTGATACAGTAAGTACACATCACTCATGCCAAGAACGCTTAACCTAAACCTAATGAAGAGGAAGCTGTGAGACAAATCCAGAAAACATGACTTCCTTCGAGAAAGTCAACTAGGGGTAGGAGGGAACAGGAGGAACCTTCTATACTGAAACTGAAGGAATCTAAAGAGAAGGCATTGCATGCATCCTTGACTGGATCCTGGATAGAAAAATACTTGGGGATAATTAAGAATGTTTATAGATACTCTTTAGATGATATTATTGGGTTAATATTAAACTTTTTAGGTATAACAATGATGCTGCGGTTATATATAAAGGAGAATGCCCTTATTATCAGGAGATAATGCTTAACTTGTAGAGATGAAGCTGCATGATTTTTACAACTTATTCTCAGATGGCAAAACAACAAAAAACTGTAAACATACAGAGGTAAAGCTTCTTTCATCAACAAATTATAAAGAGAAGGAAAAAAAAGAAAAATGAGGGCAGGTGAACCTGTAATACCTGAGGTTCTTAACCTGGATTCCAGATAAAATTCAGGAGATCCATGGCAAAATCTTATTTCTGAATACCTTAAAGAATAAATTACTAAGTCATATTTTAAAAAATACTGTGATAACCATGCCAACATAACTGGTTTCTTTTGAGATTTAAAGTATTTTCATTTTATCCATTTAAAAACATTTTGAGAAAGGATCCATAGGCTTCGCCAAAGAACCAAAGAAATCCATGGTGCAAAAAAGAAACCCTACCATAGAGCAAATAATTATATTTGAGATATCAACTAAGTAGAAAGTGTGGACCCTGTTTAGATTCTGACTTCAATAAACCAACTATTTTAAAAATGAAAAATAACTGGACATGAATTTTCAAATATTCTTAAAATTAAAATGGAATTTATTTATTCAAAGCTAAGAATTACTATTACAAACCTTCCAGAGTAATGCAGTCCATAGTGAAAGCACGGGCCAGCTGGGTTGAAACTTCCATACTACGACAAATAAGTGTTTTTCCAAACACATGTTTGAAAGCTTTGTCAAACCTGGGATTGTACCTCAATTTACTTATCATAGGAATAGCATCCTAAAAATGAATATCTTGTTAGCAAGCAAAGAGATCACAACACAATTAATTAAAATGTCTTAGCAGAATTATGGATTACATCTTCATGAAATATAAACACAAATAACTTTATATTTCAAAACTATTAGTTTTTATACTGAAAATGTTACAAAAAGCATCGTACTTCAATATCCTAGAAATAGTGCTCACATAAACTATCCAGAGTTTCAATGCTAGAGCACAGTGATAAAGACCTTAGTGGCTCTGGAGCCAGACTGCTCAAGTTCAAATACCAGCTCCACCACTCACCTGATGTGTGCTCTGGACAAAGGTGCGTAACTTCTCTGAGTAACAGTTACTTCCTCTACAAAACTGTAGTAACAACAATACCTTCCTGACAAAGCTGTTAAAACTAGGCGAGTTATATATGTGAAACACTTACGATAGCATCTGTCACATAGAACTGCTAAATGTAAACTAATAGTATTTCCTCAAAATATTTTCATTTTAGTTTTATCTATCTATCCATCCACCTACCTACCTACCTAAGTACAGATGCATATATCTAAGTTTGATATTCAGAAAAACATTTTTTCAGATAAATTTTTTTCCCTTTTTTCTCTTGAACTGTCAGAACAGAATTTTAAAATTAGGAAATACATCCTACATACAGAAAAATGCAATATGTTAAGCTCAAGTTAATAATTACAAAGCGAACACCAACATACCACCAGACAAGGCAAGAAACAAAACACTACTGACACCCAGAAGTCAAGATTGTACCTCTTTCCTAATTGCAGTGGTTACCTCTAATGGTTACCTGCTGGGGGTGAACCACTGTTGTAACTTTTGTGGTAACCACTCCTTTACACTTCTTTCTAGCTGTCCTCTAAATTTGTTTTGCTTAGGTAATGTAAAGGGAACCACACTACATGCATTTTTGTGTGTTTTGCTTCATTCAAACATCATATTTATTTCTCAATTTCTCCTCCAAACTTCAAAGGTAATTTGTATATATTTAAAAGAAGAAAAAGCTAGACCATTTGAAAAGCTTCTAAGGTTCTCACTGTTCCTCTT